ATTATGTTCACCCCTAGATTTACACTATAATATGGCTAGTGAAAGGAGAAAAGGAGACAAATCCTATAAGCTTTGAAGAAGAGTAGTTTGCATATTTACCTTTGGAGCAAGTGAAAAGAGGCATTTAAGGGAAGAAGGAGATGGAAAAACTGAGAGAGCTATGGTTTATGGGTCTGGTGGGTATGAAAAAGGCGGGACTGCTTGGATTCGAGCTTGAAGATTAACTATTGGCAAAACCAACGATTAATCTGAACAAATATTTCCAAATTTTAGATTAAAAATATATTTCTTTGTTTCTACACAAATAATATTTCGACAACGACTTGTAATATTATGCGTTAAATGATATTTAGTTTATTAATTAGTTTTCTTTATTCATAGTTATTCTTGTTTTTTTGTTTTTTTCAAACAAACGTAGTTATATAGATGCTTACTCTCCATTAAAGGAGGAATTGTTTACAAGTGATGATACTAAAGCCATCAAGACTACTAAAAACGCTGCTACAAAAGGCAAGCGACGATCACAAAAATACCGGATAGAAGCAGTCATTATACATAAGCAGTCAACGTCGTAGAGAAATCCTAGTATCTCGACAACATAGGGCCTAAGCAGTGGAATGATGTCTTGGGAGATTAAGAACACAACATGTGGACTAACACCCGGGATTGATACCGCACCTAGTGCGAGATTGACAATCTTGAAATCGGCTGCACTGAAAAGTGTTGAGCCTTTAGTACTAACAGAGAATGAGTCATCTGTAGAGAGTAGTTCTTGGAGCCTCCAACAAGGGATTAATCTGCAATTTATCAACAAATAACACGACCAACAAAGGCCGAAGCAACTACAGGGAGAAGACATCCAAAAGCTATACAAAATTGTGTCATACCCATCCAAAATAAGATCAATGGAGGGTGTGAACACAATTTCGATAATAAACCCAACATGGTATCACACACATCCAAAAGTAAGATCGATGGAGAGTATGAACATGGGTTCGGTAACCGCCTCAACAAACTGTCATACATATCTAAAATTAAGATTGAGGGAGAGTTTGAGCACTCATGATAACTCACCCGGAGAGATTGAAGACAGTACAATCCCGTAGCTATAACGTTGACACGACCATGTGTATTGCTTATAAGAGCATCACCGTAAATCTTTTCGGGAAGAGACACACCAGATTCTGAGTTTCGATCTGTCACATGTACGA